GCAGGCAGCCCGTGGAGAGTTCAGGCGAATCTGTTAGAGCCCTATGCATCACAAAGAGTTTGCACCCTAAACCTATGCTACTCTCTAAATAGTAGTTTCCACTTTTCCTTTATCCCTATATAACCTATATAATCCCTATATTATCCCAATAATACCCCTATAAGAGCAATGCGGCACCTTAGTGTTTAGGGCTTAGGCCTCCTGAGCTGAGAGTATTATTTCCTCGGGTAGGCACAGATAAAAACCTAATTTGAAACACATCTTTTAGCAGGGCCCCCGGCTCCTTGCAATAGATATAATAGGACCCTAATATTTATTAGCCTTTATAGTCACTATTACAGGGTGGGGAGTTTACAGGGTGGCGAGTCCACCTAATCTTATTGGCGCCCTTGCATGTGGAGGTTCCGACCTATTTGCAATCCCCCGCTCAGCTTGCTGCACTTGGCTCAAGGGCCATGACTGTCATAAGTTTCCTTCGCAGGAATTCAGAGTCTAATGCTGGCACACTTGACAGCAAGTACAGAAAGCCTTGACGGCTATTCTTGACATGGTCTCGCAGTCGTCACACAAAGAGCAGCTCAGATAGCAGCCCCCTATCAAAGTTTCAATTTTACCTGTCCCAATAGCGGGCACGTTTCACATACCGCAGTGTGTCCTCCGCAGCTGGTCTAAGTGCCAAAACTACAGGGAGAGGATTCGGTTTACAGCTCGAAGCTTGTGTGAATCTTGGCTTATGGACCTGGGGTCTCTTCAGGTCAAAGTCCATAGGTGGAAGAGGAGTCAAAATATGCAAAAGGCAGATGGTTAGAGCCATACAGTTTGCCGGAAGTGCTCTTAAAGCCTAAGTCGCTGGTTGTTCACGCAGGTCGAGCTACCAGATCGAACCTAATGCACAGCTTACGTACGGGCGGGTTTAGGGTTCAGGGTGTAGGGTTCAGGGTTTAGGGTTTAGGGCCTGGGTTTAGGGTAGGAAGCTCCGGAGACAAAAACAGCAGCTTTGGCACTTGGACCCGCCAACACTGTGTCGCCATGGCGATGGAAGTGTCTGTCTCGCTTTTGAGCGGACGTGGCTGGGATCAGAGATGCAAAGTTGAGCCCTACCTCTAGGTCCTCTAGGTGCTTCCAAAATGTGGGTGTGCACCTCACATTTCCCAGAATACTACACTCAACTCGAGATGATAGGGACTCCCAGTTCTGTTGCAAACTCCCATTGAAGGAGGACTGCTTATTCACCTTTGAAACCAGCAACCCACATCCACAAAGCCCCTGAACTCTGGGATCGAAAAAATGCTTCATCCCTTGCCTCGAGGCCAGGAAACCCTGAGCGTTTGGGAGCTGTAGTCTAAAACCCCTTAGAGGGGTTATCTAGAGGTATAATCTAGGGCTTATTAAGGGGATACTCGGAGTTAAGACTACAGCTCATGGGATTTCTGGATATGGGTTGGGTGGAGACCTGTTCTACGCTTTGGTGTAATGGTTTCTTTCTTATACTAGTAAATAGATCCTCTGTTCAGAGTTTGTTAACAAATCTGAACGATAAGAGTTTTAGTAAGGATCCCCATAATTCCTCGATAATCCCCAAATCTCGTTAGAATCCCCAACCCTAAATCCAAAACCCTAAACCCTACATCCTAGCCCCTTACTTCAAACAAGACTCTTACATTCATGTACCCAGGCTCCGCGCAGGTGGACGCAGGACCGGAGTGGACCGTCCAGGACGCCCCCAGACCCCTTCACAGGATGTAGAAGGGTTCAGGGTTCAGGGCTTGGGGATGCCATGACCCTAAACCCTCAACCCTAAGCCTTAAACTCTAAACCTTAAACCGTCATTTTTCTTTAAGCCATTAGGTTTATGAAGTTGCATATGCTCCGGCATGGTTTACAGGTGGAATGTCTGCGGGTTGGGTGTAGGGCTTAGAGCAAAGTTGTAGTGTTGTTGTACAAAGAGAACCTAGACCCTCCACTACCTTCTATATATCCTAAATAGGGACGGTTTACCCCCTACAAGGCGGGTCCTGGAAAAGATTGCCAGAAAGTTGGAGCATCAGTCCCCCTCATGCCCAGACGGAGAAAGAGGCGCAAAAAAAAGGAGCGTAAATCAACCTATATCCCACAGTACAGCATACCCGGAAACCATATTCGAATTTACTTAGGCCTCTCAATAAGGGTTGTAGCCATCATAGAAAAGACTGAATAAGCTGAAGAAGCCAAAACACGATTTCATAGGCTCCCCGAAGCACCTGCTCCGCCTCCGCCGAAACCTCAACTTATTCTTAAATATGAAGAGGGTGATGCAAGGTTGTTGCAGCTTGGAAAGATCAGCCGTTACACCGGAAGTGGAGGATATTTCTGCACAACACTGTCCACGAAAGAACAGTTCAAACACCCCACGTATTGTAATGCCCTAAACCCGAATCCCTAGATCGGACCCATAGTTGTAAGAGATCCCTGCAGCGGGGGGAGTCTCCAGGACGTGCGCCGTGCTGCGCAGCGAAAGTTGCGCGTGCGTTTGCACTTGGGATTGCAGCCCATTTGGTGCTTAGTAGTGAGTGGTGGAATAGACAAGAAACGGGAAATTCATAGGGGAGTGTGTATATATATATGTACATGTTTTAAAGGTGTGTGTGTATATATACACACATATCATTCGGGTTGAGGGTTTAGGGTTCTGGTTCTTGGTAGGGAACGAAGGAATGACAGCTATGAATAATAGCCCCCGAGCACCCCCGAATTGCATAACACAGTCCACTCCTTTTCCTACTGGGCATCAGCGAGCAGTTGAAAAGAGAAGCAGAACCCTTTAAAAAAAAGTCCGTCTGCTTTCATGAACATGTCGTCCTCCTTCAATTCTAGACTATAAGGTATGGAAGTGTGAAGGGGACCTGAGCGATGGGAGCATTGCTTAGAAGTATGGTATGGGAATGCCCCCCCTGCAATTCTAGCCTATGTAGTGCCCAAAGCTGAAAGCAGTCAGGTCTCTCCAGGAGATAAGTCCGACATTTTCAAGAGGATTACATGGGAAAGCGTCGAGAATGTATACACTGTATGTCCTTCTCAGAGCTTGTGTGCGTCCATGTGCGTTGAGTGCCTCGTTTTCCCAATGGAGTTTCTCATTTCCTGTGTTAGTATGTCATTATATGACCACATCAGTATGTTATGCATGAACAAATTGAGAAGTGCCCTCACATGTTGGGTTGTCAAGTGCAGCAGGTATATGAGTGGATCCGAACTGGTAATGAGTTCATCACTGCCTTAGAACCTTGTAAGACTCCTTGACAACCCGTTCATAAGCACTAAACGAACCCTAGACCCCTAAACCCCTAAACCCCAATCCCCTGAACCCCTGAACACCTGAACCCCTAAACCCTAAACCCCTAAACCCCTAAACCCTAAGCCCCGAAACCCTAAACCCCTAAGCCCGATAGCCCCCCGTGGAGCTACAATTTCTGACCACATGGGTTTCTTGTTTCACCCCCAAGCTCTTGGGATGCTCCTTGAGAAGCCCTAAAGAGGAACCCATGTTTTTCAAAACGGATCCTTGCGGGGTTTAGGGTTTGGGGGTTTAGGGTTTAGGGTTTAGGGGTTTATTACCATTGCTTAGGGTTTTGGGGCGGATTTTGGGTTCTGAAATCTTGAAGTTTTAAAGATTAAGGAGATGTCGCGACCCTAAGCAATGGGAAGTTTACATGGGCTTGAGGGTTTAGAGCTTAAGGTTTAGGGTTTCGGGAAATTCTCACCTACCTCTTATGCCGCACTATGACGACTGACTTCCTGTATAGGGACCCCAAGGTTGATGCACCAACGCGTGGTATTTTTGCCATAATACAGCAGCTTCTAACAGTTTCCCTGCATCCCACCTGGACTTGTGACAAACTCCCGTTGATCGGAATTGGGTTGAGGGTGTAGGGTTTAGGGTCTTGAGATGATTGAACATATCAAGCCTAAGAGCATATAATTCCTCTATGAACGTCATGCGCCCCATGAAGCTTTCAATTCAGGCTCTCCCTATGTAATTTGTGGAAAGCAAACTTATCACCCATATCCAACCTTTGTGCACCCCCTTGTCAGCGTTTCCAAAAGTATGGGTCCCCCCTTCATCCCTCCAACTACTATGGTCCATGTTTTATGGACCGCTCAGCAACTACATACCCGCTCCTCGTTTCAGGACACTGCCAAAAGAGCCCCTGTTATTTTGGGAGCCCCTAACCCTAAACTTACTGGTTCTTAGTAGGGGATAGGGGAAGTCTGTCAGGATCATATTCCCTTATTCCCTACTACGAACCAGTACATAAAGCTTGGACCCTAAGCTCCTAAACCCAAACCCCTAAACCCTCAGCTCTAAGCCCCTGAACCCTAAACCCGTAAACCCTTGGCTCTAACCCCCTAAACCCCAAACCTCAGTGCAAGCTTAGGCTAGGCCTTGTCAACGCTAATGGCGAGGCGCCATGCGGTTTGCGATCTTAGGGTAGGGTTTTGGGTGTAGATTTAAGGGACTAGGGATTAGGGTTTAGGGTTTAAGGTCTGGGATTTGGGCTTTGGACATCTTGCGGCCATAAACCCTAAACCCTCAGTTTAGGTTTAGGGTTGCAACTTTTGCGGCCCTAAAGCCCCTAAGCCCTAGGGCTGTGGGTTCATGATTTGGGGTTCAGGTCACAGAACCCATGGGTGGAAGGGCACAGGAAGGGAGGGGCCCAATGGCCTCAGACCCCCAGAAGAGTGATTGAGATCACCAAGGTCCCAAACTCTTTTGGCCTGCCATTCAATGTTCAATTTTCTTTTCCGTTTGATTCTCCATTATTGGGATGACTATACCACCCCTATAACTTCTTAATTTGGCCCCTGTGCTAGCCAAGCCCCTGCTCCGTCAGGTTCTCTTTAGGCACTCACTTCATGGTTGACAGTGGTTCACAGTTGCTGTTCACCCCAATATCTGAAGCCCAAAGAGCGGTGAGTTTGTTCATCTTGATGTAAACTTCAAACCCTACCACTGGCAAAAACAGGTGCTGCCAGAAGACCGTGCTCTCGATCGTGTTAACGTCAAAGACGGCGATCTGCTCAGCGCGGTCGTGGGGCTTCTTGGAAGAGCTTAGGGTGGATCCGGAGCTTAGGTTTATTGAGGTTTAATGGCTGCAGTGACGTGGGATCCGCAACAGATTCAATAGAGCCTCTTGATACCACCGGTTGTTATCATGTCACACCTTGGGCCCTTGGAACAATCCTCACCTGACCCTTTGACTGAACATAGCGTCTTTTCTATGTGGTCGCTGCTCTTACCGGTAACATGTGCCCGAACACTAAACCCTAGATCGAAAGGAAAGATCAGCTGGCGTCCACAGACAAAGCCTTCGCGCTGCTCGGTGCGGATGGATCCGTTGTGGCCTGGGGACACCCGGATTCCGGAGGCCGGTGGTTTGGGTTTTGTCTGGTGGTTAGTAGGTATTTTTCATTCCTATACAATGTATTTCCTTATTCCCAACTAACCCAGTAAGGTTTGGAGTGTGGTCGTTAGTGGGGAATGAGGGAGTTTAACCCCTATATAATGTATTCCCTTATTCCCTACTTACCCTCGCACCCCTATGTATATATACATATATGTATATATATATATGTAGAGGAATAAATACGTGTATATATGTGTGTGTATATATATATATATACATATACATCTCTTCCCATATTCCCTACTAACCCCCAGTAAGCTTGAGGGCACGGGGGGTTAGCTTCTTGAAATTCGAGCTCAAGAGCTGCAGCTGCGAACCCTTCAGTTGGGGTTAAGTCTGCCCCACAGTTGAAGGTGTTGTGTTTAGGGTTTAGGGCTTCATTACCTGTACTCGATTATCCACATTTTTGTAGTAATTATAGTCCCCCCTAGGAGATAGAATATGGGGTATATGCGGATCTTTTTATAATATACCCAAAGTCATATTCTATCTACTTACGGGGGGCTATATCCCTTTCAGATGTCCATTAGAACCCAGTAGGCCACCTGAGCCACTTATAAGCTGTGTATCCCCACAAAGCTTTTTTGGGGTAAGAGAAGACTACACTCTAGAACCCTTAACCCCCTCAGTAGTTTCCTATAACCCCTATACTCCACATGTACTCCTCTACTCGCCATGTAATCCTACATCCCCTATGTAAGCTAGCATTACTACCCCGCAACGTTTACCACAGTATGGCTTAACTGTTTGCACGAGGCTACCAAACCCTCATGCCTGCAACTAAGGCCTAGGTTTCAGGGGTTTAGGGTTTGCAGGTTTTGGGTCGAGGGCTTTACGGGCTTGGGATCTAGGGTTTTTGGGGGATTGGGTGGGTAGAGGAATTTTCCCACCACTTAGCATCCCTCAAATGCTGTAATTTCGGCATTGGGTTCGTGGTATCAGGTGGCGCAAGATTTCCTCTTTCCACATCAGGACCTGCTTTTGAAATGCGGTTTATTCCAACATTTCTGGGCCCCTGCTGTGCACCAATTACAGTACGGCAATAAAAAGGGTGAAACTTCTGGAAGCTCCATGTGTGGGCAGGAAGCTTCCGCTCCAATTGTTCAAGATGTGTTCGCATCCCTTGACTTACTGGTGCTTATGGGATAGTGGGGTTGTGGATCCTGCAATGCTCCTCATATTTCCTCCACCGGTTCGGGGTTTAGGCTTTGGGAAGCCCTAAACCCTGCACTTGGCTTAATATCCCAACCTGTCAATTTTGAAGGCGATGCAAGAGCGTTGCAACATCGACTCAGCGACGTGGCTTACAGACATCACCCAGCCCGCCTTCAAAGCAGAAAGTCTTGTACTTTAGGGTTTAGGGTTTACTGTATGGCTAACAGCACTGCGGTCGGGGTTACTTGTAGGTTCAGGGGTAGTTTTAGCCTTAAAACTAGTGGAAGATGGCCTTGAAACCTCGACCTTCTCTAGGAAGAAGATACCGAAGTGATACCCAAGTAATTTCCATCCTCCCGTAAAACTACTAGTGTATATGAAAACCAGCGTGACGGAATATACCTACCCAGGGCCTTCTTCTACACGTTCAAACGTTACAGCTCGAAGCAAGCAAGTTGGAGCTCCTGACCGCAAATCCTCATCCCTTAGCCCCAGCCTTCCCCTGGACTCCAGAAGCAGCACGCCCAAACAAGCATGAACCCCCAATTAGGCTGTTTGATGACCAGGTCTGTTGCGACTAGTGGTTTCTTGCTAGTGTTTGCACTAGCTTCTTCGCCTTCTTGCCTCGATTGCAACCATCCACCCGCTCCTCCTCCTCTGCCACCTCTGACGTGATTCAGGCAAGGAATGATCCGCACTCAGGCGATGTGACACCTTGCAAACAGGAATTGGTGGAATTGGAACTTGAACCTCTAGGGGATGCGTATCTCTTCATCATGTTTTTCTGCTAATGGTACGATGCCACTATCCCTATACTGTCGGCTGATTTAGGCCGCTACGCTGCGATCCTACAAAAACAGAGGTCTGGCAGTGGAGCGCAGCCCAAACCCTTACACCTGATTGTTTTTGTTATCCGTACTCCTCATCTTGCTTGCGCGACCCTATAAAGCCTCAGCTTTCTGAAGCAGATGATGCCTTAAAAGATTTAGATCTCAAGATATGAGACGATCCCAACTCCACACTTTACACCATAAGGCCGAGGCCCGATTGCTCAAGCTCATACGGTCATTCAGTTGAATGTGAAGGTCACACCACCCCAAAACATGAAGCTCTACACCATAAAGCCTCAACCCTGTTCTATGTTCATTTTTGGGTTCTACATGACGCCCGAAGCGAGGCGATGTGGAGATGCTGCAGGGCTCTTTCCGCGCCTTCGCCGCGCTGAAGGCCGATGGCTCGGTGGCTCCTGGGGCCTTCAAAGAGCTTCATGCGGGAGCCTGAATAGTTTGAAGCGCATTTAGGTTTAGGGTTTAGGGTTTAGGGCAGGGAACCCAACAGAACAGAAAACGGAAGATGACATGGAAGCCGTGGTCAGAAATTGGTTTACAGGTCTGTATTGCATGAGCTAAATAACTAGAATGGCCTCGTACGGTTGACGCGGATTTGGGGTTGAGGGCTCAGGATTTTGGATTGAGGACGTTGGGTCGTAGGTGTATGCTTTGGGTTTTGCTTTTGAGCTGTTGGGATGTCCTGGGGTCAGCATGGAGATGATAATTCTACCCTGAACCCTAAAACCCTAAACCCTACTAAACCCTACAACCCCAAACCCTAAAACCCTAGACCCTAAAACCCTAAACCCTAAAACTCTAAACCGTAAAGCCCTCAACCCTAAAACCCTAAACCCTTAACCCTAGAACCCTAAACCCAAAAACCCTAAAACCTTAAAACCCTAAGTAAGCCCTGAACTCGAAAACCCAAAAGCCTTAGCTAAACCCTCAAAGACCATGGGGAGCCCCATTTGAGCTTCAAGGTAACCTGGGGCCACCGCGGATATGGAGGACAGAGCGGCTGGTCATGCTGGAGTTTGGGATTGACGCCGTTTAGGGTTTAGGATTGAGGGTTTAGGGTCTAGGATTGAGGGTTTAGGGTTTAGGGTAGGTGTTGGGGATTGTTTTCAATGTTCTCAAATTTTTGAAGGGTACACAGGCGCGTGAGTTTGGGTGGGAATTGTGTAGATGATTGGCTAGAGCCATGAGAAATGTTTCCGTTTCTTAGGGCTGGGCGATGACAGGCTTAAGAGAGGAATCAAGAATCACCTGCCCATGCTCATAAGCCCTGCCGCCGCCCTCGGTAACAAGTATTCCCAATATGGCGATATAGTGCCTTTGTTCAATGGGGAGAATATTTGCTAACAGTTGGTAACCTGTCGTAGCGGTTATCATTTGGACAAGACATTAGAACTGAAGATTTTTGGACGGCAGAGTTGGTTTCCTGAAGGCGGGTGGCGCAAACTGTACCCGTGGGCAAAAAGGGTCGTGTAATCCTTTTAGCGTGCCCGCTGGCATTTCCTCAAGAAGGAAGACTGCTGAGATTCACGAAGAACATGTCCCTGGGATCTTTCTCGTGTTTAAGAAGTCCGAGTTGTACTGCTAGCATCAACACAGCAAGACCTTAATCCTGAAAAAAAACACCACATACTACACCAAGAACTTGGGCGTGACAACGACCCGAGGATATTATTAAGAAAATTGAGCTCCCTCAGATCCCCCATGTAAGGGCTCTCAAACGAGGATCACCATGTTGTTCAAGCAACTGGCATGCTACATCCGAAAACCGCATCCCAATCCTGGCAAACCTTGTGCTAGCACTTTTTTACGTGCGTCTTAATGATTCGGCAGAGGTAATTAGCTTCGCTTCTCGAAACTTCATGCCGTCATGGACAAAGTAAAGCACACGCTTGCTAAAAACAAAATCATTTACATATATGGTAGCATGCATATGTTTGTTGTGTACTTAGATATGTAAATGTTGTATGTCGGCAATCAGGCTTGTAACCCTCCCTCGAGTAGATTGAGGCCGCGAATTGCTTAGCTGACTTAGCTGCCATTCGGTACTGATAGATGTAGGGCAGCAAACAAAATGCTGAGGTATCCGCGATGGCAGCCAGGGCCATAGCGAAAGCGTGAAGCGCCTTTTCCCCACTCACAATGGCATCTTAGCCGTCCTTGTGGATGGCTTCTTAGCTGCCGTGGTCATAGAATTTGTAGAACCAGGAGTTCCTCTCAGAAGCCTGTGTACAGGAATCTGGTCATTGGGCTCAAATAGGGAGCCTCAAGCCTGGATCGGAAATCCTAGTCCTAGACGCACGTGTACAGGGGTGGCAGGTTGAGAGATCATCCTACGTGGCGCTGGCAGTCGCTCAAGAGTTTTCGTTGTCTTCAATTCAAGGAGCATGCAGAGAGCATACTGGGAACTCTCGAATTCCCCATGATTAGACACATTCTGGTGGACCTTGATTGTGAGCTTAAGCTACCATATCAGGAAACCGTTTTAATTTACCATAAATGATCCAGGGTTGCCATCCCGCCCTCTCGTGGCCACCCCGCCCCCCACATGTGGTCCATGTGGTTCTTTGTGGTGGTGCTGGCGGTTCTCATCACAGGGATTCTGTGACGAAGTAAAGTACAAAAACTTCTGTATGCCGATGCTCACTTCGGTTAAGTCCCTCCCCCCGGTGGTCCCTGTGGTGCTGGTGATTCTCCCCGCCCTGTGGTAGTAAATAGACATCCAATAGACCCTAAGTAGAGCTATAGCCCCAGGTATATACTGCTTGAGCCTTATGAGAGCTAAGTTCTTGGTCTAACGCAGCAAGTGTTCACATGCTGGCACAGTGGAGCTTGTAGTCCCCGAGCAGCCCCATGCATGTGACTGTTGGCAATTTTTGAGACGTGACGAAAGCATGAGGGGCTAAAAGTGATGACAGTTACAGGGATGGCAGCTACAGTCACCAGGATCATGATTTTGAGGGCCCCATCCCTGTGACTGTTGGAATTTTCAGAGGTTTAGGCTGGGGCATACCATGGGGGTAGGATCCCCAGGACCGGGATCATATGTACCCGTACTATGGCAAATCCCTGCATAGTCTCTAACCCCTGTATGATCCGTATAGATTCCCTATATAACCTTAAACCCTACAAATACACCCTAAACTTCAAAAAAAAATCTGACACCTAAACACTAAGACCGAGCCGTGTCTCATCTGAGGATCTGTTGCTCCTTGCGGCTGGTCGAACACAAGCGAGGCCCAGTGTTTAGGGTTTAGGTTGAAGGTTTAGGGTTGAAGGTTGAGGGTTTAGGGTTGAAGGTTGAGGGTTTGGGGTTGAAGGTTGAGGGTTTGCGGTTGAAGGTTTACGGTTAAGGATTGAGGGTTGAAGGTTTAGGGTTTAGGGTGCAGGGTTGAAGGTTTAAGGCTCTGGGAAAGTACCTAATCCTCTAGCGTGTATAGGGGTGGATTACAATAGGGTTTAGGTCAATAATGGAAAATCATATGGACAAGTAATGACAAGTCCTCACAGACCTGCTGCTCCTTTGCTGATTTCGGGGAAGTGGATGTTTGATTGGGTTTCAAAGAGAACCAAGCATTCAGCACATGGTTTCGCGTGCATCTTTGAGAACTCACTGTGAAATCTCTGCCGTTGACGTGTTGGAAATGCCCAGTACTAGCCGCAACACTCAGGGGTAGAGCGTGCGCACCTTTCTTTAGCGTAGTTCTGGGGTTTCCATGTAAAATTACACATATGGGCAGTTCTCAAGATTGCCTTGAATCCCTTTGAGTAAATTCCATATTACCCCTGGGGTTCAAAAGAAGGGTTCCCCGTAGCTGATCAACCAGCAGCACTTCCGGCCCCTTCAGGACGTTACCACCCGGCGCGCGGTGGATTGCATGACAGGCGTCCAAGATGTCAAGAACACCCGCGGTGCTTTCGCTGCCATCGCAGCTAGGCTGCTTAGGGCATAGGTCATAGGGCACGGCTTTAAGATGCTGTAGGGCTTAGGCATAGGCTTGCAACTGTTCAGACGCAGGACTGAAGCACGATTTAGGGGGCCCTAGTCTTTATCAGTTTAGCTAGCCATGACAATCTTCACTCGGAAGCACATGGATGGGAGGACTCAAACGTAACCCGCACAAGAGGCTGCGCCTCAGTTCTTGGCTTGAATCTAAGGACGGGTTGTTGAATACCATTGTCATGGAACCCCAATATAACCCCTTATATAACCCATTATAGTAGTTTCCATTTTCTTTTCCATTATTCCCTATATAACCCCAATAGAACCCTAATACTATATCCATTGTCTAAGCCCTCCAACGTTCAGGGCTCCATGCTGAATGCTGCCGACTCCACACTGGAATTGTCATTCCGGGACCAACTGGACTTTGAACTTTAGTTTAGGGTTTAGGGGCTTAGGGTTTAGGGTTTAGGGTTTATAGTCCCTCTTCAGTAGATAGAATATGGGGTATATGGGGGATCCTATCATAATATACCCAAAGCCATATTCTATCTACTTAGGGGGGATTATAACTTTGGCAGAATCAGTCAGGCACGCCCCCATGTCGGTCGCAGCATGGAAACACGCCTCTGCTGGTAGTGTAGCCCTGACGCCAAACTACCCTGGCCTTAAGTAGTGGGTTTCCAGGTCTTAAGGGTACAGGGGTTAGGGTCTAGCTGCTGTGGATTCCAGGCTTGAAGTGCTGAAGTTTTAGGGTTGAGGGCTGCAGGTTGAAGTTTTCAGGTCTGGGGGATTCCGGTGGGGAGATTGAACCTTAAACTTAAACCCTAGACACTACAAACACTACAAACCCCAATCTCGCTCTCTCTCTCTCTCTCTCTCACTCTCTCCCCCTCTCTCTCTCTCTCTCTCTCTCTCTCTCTCTTTCTGTATATATTTATATACCTATTTATACGTATCTACATGGACCCTGTTGGATCTTAGGGCTTGAGTTCTGCGTGAAGCGAGGTGGGCGATGGGTCTGTGGTGACTGGTGGCAATTACATCTACGGTGGCGATTGCAGCGCGGTTCGTGAGCAACTACAGGAACTGGGTGTTTGAACCCTAAACCCAAAACCCCTAAACCCTACACCTCTAAACGCCTAAACCCTAAACCCCTAAACCCTAAGCCCCTAAACCCTAAGCCCCTAAACCCCTTAACATGCTATGCTCCTACTTCAGACTTGGGTCTTGCAGCTCCAGGGGGAAGTCGAGGGTTAAGCGACAGACTTTAGATTTTTCGGAAGGTTTAGGGTTTGGGGTTGAAGATGTAAGCTGTATAGGGCTTAGGGTTGAGGATTCACGCTTTTGGTCCAGAACTGTCCCACAATCTGAAAATCAAGTTGGATCTGAACCCTCGGACTAGTCTTAGTACGGCAGAGGTGCATCTGGGCATTGAGCTACAGGGAAGGGCCCCTGCAGTTTGAGGCTACACCCTAAACCCTATTCAATGGTTATATTGTCATCATAAACCCTAAACATCCTAAGCCGTTAAGGCAAGAAGAACAAGACTTTCTGGTGCCTGAGCCTCGGGGCCTACGGTGACTGCTATCCTTGTGAAATTTGCCCATGTTGGCATCCCTGTGAGCTATAGCCTAAACTGCTTGGAGGGGGGTTATATGGGGGTTATGTAGGCTACTACTAGGGGGATGCTGGGAGTTTAGACTATAGCTCATGTTTCCTTGCGGAAGAGCATGGCCTATCTTGAAATTGCTACTTCGGCACTTCTTCCCATGAAAGGACGTGCGGCAGATCGCTGCCAGCTATGGGGCCTTTGCTGCGCGAAGGGGCGACGGATCGGTGCCTCGAGTGATCTCCAGCTTGAAGTACACGTGCACTGCACCCATGCATTGAACCTCATCGAGGGCCCTATAATGATGACGAATGCATGTTAGTTTGGGGGAGGTTGGTCGCGAGAAGTTCGGTGGGGTATCTGTGAAAGGGCACTTGACCTTAAGCAGCATGCCCAGAACCGCGCTAGCTAACTCAGAGTTCTAAACGACGGCAATATCACAATTTTCACAAAGAATGGTCATGTGCAGAAACCACACGAATCATATCTGAAGTTTTAAGCCCTATGCTGCAAAACCTCACCCCTGCCCCCTAGGCCCTAAACTCCCGAAATTAAGCCCCATCCAACTGCCAGGTCGTATCTTGGGGTCACCCGCAGTGGGGCGGCATGGATCTTAATGCGCCCAACCAGCTGAAAAATGTCAAGGACTCACTCGGCTGCTGTAATCTCCTTTGTGATCCCCTCGCCCTCGTGAGAAACTCCTGCGCTTTGGCACCGTGCAACCCTCGTAGCGTTTCCCAAGCCGATAATCCCCTCCCCCTGATATTAAACACGCCCACCCCTAATATCTCGACAGTATGACACTGTGGCGGTGTGTACTTTCGAGGTTTTTAGCATTTTGGCGTAGGTTTTTGTTCTGTTTTATGCTGCAGTTCACCCTCGCTTTACGTATACATATCCTAGTTAGGTTAGCAAGAAAGTACGTTCCGCAAGAGACAGCGGTTTTGCGACAACAGATTGTCAACACCAAGGCTGCGCATCTGTGATTGTAGATGTCATCCTTAAATAATCCTTAAAAGGGACGTCCCCTAATCCTTCCATACCTGCAGGGTGCCCAGGAGACACCCTTTTTGACCAGGAATTCAACCCACTTTTCCTCAACATCACCTGGACAGCTAGGGCATGCAACTCCACTCCGACGCTGCAAGCAGTCTCGCACGCCCGGGGGTATGGCGTGGTCACCAGCATGCGCGTGATTTGCAGAGCAGGCAAGTTGGAGTACGAAACCTCGTAGGCCTGAGGGGTGACCCTCCATCAGGAAGAACTTTGGGGGCTCTTTCTCCATTGGTGCCATCGGCTTCCCGGAAGGACATGCAGACTACATTGAGATTGGGTTGCTCTTAAGGAATTTGTAAATACTCCAATGAGGAAGCCCTATTATTTACGACATACCCATGTAAAGGTAACTTAAGTCAAGTTCCTTGACAGCAACCCAGGAGACCGTGGAAGGCGGCCTTGCAGTCCTCACAGGCGGCGAGAAGCGCAGGAACATCACAAGGGCAGCTGGCAGTGCACACCCTGCCCCAAGAGCTTGAAAACCAAAAGCCAGAGAAAACTCAAGGGGTGAGGTTTTAAGGTTTTGGGTTAAGGGCTTAGGCCTTTATAGTATGGCGGTTACATACGGGAATGAAGGGTATGTGTAAATGGGGTTGACGGTTTGGGATTTAGGCTTAGGCTTTAGTATTCAGAGTTAAGAGCTTGAGGTTCAAGGTTTAGGGTTTGGAATTTAGAGTTTGGGGTTTAGGGTCTTTTTTCTGGAAACTCAGAGGCTTTCATGCGCTCATGATACCCAGGACCAATTTGTAAGCCCCGCTCCCCTGACATGGAGGAGCCATCTCCAGTGCCCATTGGAAAAGCACGAGGCCAATATGTCACATTGATCGTAAACCCTAAACCCTTAAACCCCAAATCCCAGACGCTACTAGGCCCTCAACCCTGCACCCTGAACTTGAACCCAAGTCCTCGAGGCGTTGACCACTAATAACCTTGCATTAATTTTTTTGCGACGCCTACCAAGTCCACCCAGAGCCACTTAGAGACTCATGGGACTTAATAACTACGTATAACTGGGCTATCAGCCTGCTTATAACTCCTTGAGGGGGCTTGTGTAAGTTATCCCAATGGCAAGTAAGGCTATAAGCCCAGTTAGAAATGTTTATTAAGTCCCATGAGGCTCGAAGCAACCTTTTCAATCTCTAGAGCAGATGTTGTAGTCAATGTGACTTTCATGGCTTTGTCGGGGAAGATTCAGGAACATACTCCATCTCCCAGACGATGACCCTGATCACTTGCAAATACTGAGCATGTGCCAGACCTTTACATCTCCTCTTGAAGCCTTCTGCTTGATCCGAGCAACCTGGACCAGACGAACCAGGCCACCCTTTCCCTATTCCCACCACTTACCACCTTAGCTATGGCTGAAGGTCCTCCCAAACAGCTGTCGCGTCGTGCCGCGGGCCGATGTGACTGCATTCACCGAGAATGTTGTGTGTCGTGAGTGCCGGTTGAGTTTTAGGGGAACCTGCGGGCTCAGGGTCTACAAAAAGGTTTCAAGACTTCAAACAACGCTGCGCCCGAATGAAGTCTCTAGCTGAAGAGCGCTTATAAACAAGCAATGAAGCCATGTGCACCCCCGTTGCCAGGGTCATTCCTACCTCGGCAATCCTGGCATGACTCTGTTGTGTGAGGATGCCCCCGGGCTATAATGGTAGTTCTTGATGATGACAGACGACCCTTTTAGCTGATGCTTACAAGCCCTCGATGTGAGTCATCGCTCTTCGGGAGAGACAGTGTGGTGAAGCATGCTCTACATGCTCAACCATCCGATGGCGGAAAGCTTGTGCGCTACAGTATTGTAGGTTCCCTTCTCACAAAGCGTCTTTAAGATGGGTCGGTGAGTCTCACCGCGGGACTCAGAATGATGGGGACTGCCCCCCGCAAAAAGGTATCCCTGAGATTTGAATATTAACCCACAACCATGCATTTTGACGTTGACTCGTGCTGCGGATAAACAGCCAATCCCATGTGAAGGTGCACACGCTACACCCTCAAGCCGATCAGGATTGTCAGAACTTTATGGACAACACTAAAGGCCACCTCATTGCCCTAAGAAATTTGACCGCCAGAGAAATGGGGTCGATCCAGCTCGGGAATGAGCCCTGCAAAAAAGGCGGGCCATGATTTGCTGCAAGCTACATACCTACCCAACCTGGGAAAGGGTGTTCACAATGGACATGCAAGCCTGTCAGTTTAGGGAAAAACGGAAACGGTTTCAGGCCCACCTAATTGCTTCGCAACCCTAAACAGTGCCAAGGCGCAAAATGCTGGACCCCTGATCCCAGGGGTCCAGCATCTCCACGGATCGCCATAGAGCCTGAATGGGTTGTTGCGGTGAAGATGGTAGTGGTAATAGCGGGCGACTTTGAAGACGCTCAGCCAGAGCTAGAGAATTGTTAGAGCATCTAAGGCGTCTTCAACAATAGCATCAGGTACAGTATATGGATACCCTTGCTATAAACGGTATGTTCCGCAGCAGAACGCTTACAAAGGGTATGGATGTGCACAATAGAAAATTGTGGCATCGCATGCAGGATTTTTGCAAGTAGTGGATTTGACTATGCAAGGGGACTTCGAAAACAACTGTATGTATATACAGATCTCTGTCATACATGCGATATGCTGCAGGAGAACTCCTACACAACCTTTTGTCTGAGTGCTTCCCTGAGGCCAAACTTCTCTAAACTTCTATGAAATATGATCAGAGAGCATGCCGATCTTGATGGTTTTGTTTACACATAGACATGACCGTATAAAGTCACCACCACCAATATGGATGTGATAGCCTATACGAGTTGTACTAGTCACATTAGAGTCACATTGCTGGGGAGACACTCGACATACTTAGCAGCATTTATCTAAGTTCTATCATGTCACATTGGTTGAGTTCCATTATGTCACATCAAGGGGGGTTAGGGGGATTTTTGCTAACCTGACTAGGATATGCATATGTATAGCGAGGGTGCGCTGCAGCATGAAAGCGAACAACAACCAACACAAAAAATGCTAAACAATCTCAAAAATACACCCCGCCACGGTGTCATACTCTCAATGTTAGACACTCCCAATGAATTATAATATACCATATAATGGGAGTATATAAAATTAGGAGGGGTGGGGGGGGTATAATATTAGCGGGAGGGGATTAATGGCAGCGGCTTAGATTGGGGGGGATGCGGCTTGTAGTTTTCCCATGTGAGCCATAGCCTAAATTCCTTACAGGGGGCGTATGCAGAAAATTAAATGGGGACTATAATACTTAAAACCCTTAAACCCTCAGCCCTAAACCTATAAAGGGGATATGGATACTATAGCTTATGTAACGCATGGCAAGAAACCATTTTCCAGTCTCCCGAAGCGCCCTAGCTTTGCTGGTAGAACTGAGTCTTATTCAAAACCCCAAACCTAAAACGTTGGTAAGCCCTAAGCCTCAAACCTGACACCCTGAGCCCCAAAATAGCCAAGACGATGCGCAATTGATGGTGAAGAAGCCGGGTTGTTCTCAAGATCATTCTCGTAGTCCAAGTTCCATAAACAGGTTTATATACGGATTATATAAGGAGTGTTCTAGGGGGTAGTAACGGGCATACGAGGAGTTTAGACGAATTATAATTCATATACACCAAAAGCGTATTCGATACAATTATTTTCGACCCAACACCACTGGAGAGTTTTTTGGCTGTCTGCGAGTAAAGCTGCGAAGCCCTAGCTTCGGACCGCGCAGCGGTTAAGGTTAGGGTATAGGGTTGACGATCGAGTCTCTTCGTGGCGGCTTGCAAAACACCGCTAAGCGCTATGCCAGAAAATGCCCGAATGGTGTTTCATTCTTTTGCCTGCTAGACCCAGGGCAGGAAGCGTAAAATTCTGAATTGCGTTATATGCTGGGATTAAAAAAAGACCGCAAGAAATCCTGAAGCCCAAGTGCTTTGGCTTAAAATCCCCCACGCAAGGCCAATCATTCATTCTTCATATACTCCAACAACAAGGTCCCAAATCTAAATCCATCACCAAATGGGCTCTGAACTTGGAGATATCTACAGCGTCACAGAATCCAAATAAATGAAGACGCATGATTTCTGAAGTGCATATTCCCCGCATTTGACATGGTCCGTTTGAATGGCCAGAAGAGGACACCCAAAATGGGTACGCCCCCCATGTGCGAGGACATCTG